GTCTGGTCCTGACCTGAAAGACGCTCTACAAGTACAGTCCATTTACCATTTGGTGTGAATGTTTATGAAGCTGAAGTTGCTGCTGGAAATAGAACTTCCCTGCCCCCTACTGGATACTTATGGTTACTACTAGATACTTATGGTTACTACTGGATACTTATGGCCACTACTGGATACTTATGGTTACTACTGGATACTTATGGTTACTATTGGATACTTATGGTTACTACTGGATACTTATAGTTACTACTGGATACTTATAGTTACTACTGGATACTTATAGTTACTACTGGATACTTATGCTACTACTGGATACTTATGGTTACTACTGGATACTTATAGTTACTACTGGATACTTATGGTTACTATTGGATACTTATGGTTACTATTGGATACTTATGGTTACTACTGGATACTTATAGTTACTACTGGATACTTATAGTTACTACTGGATACTTATAGTTACTACTGGATACTTATGGCTACTACTGGATACTTATGGCTACTACTGGATACTTGTAGTTACTACTGGATACTTATAGTTACTACTGGATACTTATGGCTACTACTGGATACTTATGGTTACTACTGGATACTTGTAGTTACTACTGGATACTTATAGTTACTACTGGATACTTATGGCTACTACTGGATACTTATGGCTACTACTGGATACTTATAGTTACTACTGGATACTTGTGGTTACTACACTCAGACTGTGGTCAGTATTTATTGATAGAAGAAACAAACATTCAGATGAAACATTTAAATGGTAAATGGTAAATGGACTGTACTTATACAGCACCTTTCTATCCATCAGGGACACTCAAAGCGCTTCACACTGCAGACATTCACCCATGCACACACATATTCACACACTGATGATGGCAAACTATAATTGTAGCCACAGCTGCCCTGGGGCACACTGACAGAGGAGAGGCCGCCATGCACAGGCGCCACTGGACCCTCTGATTTAGTTTATAATTGATTCTCTAGAAACATTGAGTTTAATCTGACAGATCAGCCCTAGCTGAAAGATTTGGACAATTATTTGAAGGAATCAGGACTGGGTGGTGTGGTTTGTTTATTTAGTTTTATTCTTGTTTTTTTATTTTCTTATTCCACCACTTAGTAAGCAAAAGTGCACGGTGCAGTAAAATGCAAAAGATGAAAAATTATCACTAAACTCCCAAAAGTTGGGGGAAAAACCCTCCCTCCCATATTGGAATTGATCTTGGAGGAGTTGATAGATCTGCTCGGTGGAATTTGTCCACATTATTTGTCTGATTGGATTCGCCACCTTGAGATGTACCAGCGGACATTAAAGCAGATGGAAAATTGTTGTCGTCTGCCTGACTCTTTCTGTTCCCAAAACAACTGATTACAGAATATAACTCTCCCCTACAATGGCCTTGAGCTGTTGACTAAATTCTTCCTGGCTGGATTACGTCGACAAGGCTCTGCCCCACACCTCCCCCCTCCTCTCTTACTTATCTGATCTGGTTCCTAGAGCAAGCTGGGGGTTACACAGAATGAACTGTTCCATCAATATTCTGAACAATGGCTGTGCTGGTTTAGGGGACTGGATTCTTCAGGCCCCCCTAAACTCACTTACTCCTCTGGCTAATAAATCTGCTCTATGCAGAGGGTTTTTTTTTATAAACACCTTAGTGTGTCACATTGTTGTTAAAATATGATGTTTTGGGTTTTTATCCTCATCTTCCCTTGTGTGTTTTTTTGTTTGTTTGTTTGTTTGTTTTTCTGGTGTTAAGGTAGCCTGGTTAAAACCAGACCTTGTCCTTCACTTTGCTTCGTACTAGGGTCTGGACTTGATGCAAAGACAAGTGTTTCTTGCAGGAGGCGTGGCCTCTGCTGAAGTGTGTGTGTGTTGTCGCTGTGA